GACCACTTACACGTTTCTTAAAAGAATGAAAACAGACATTTAGCTTAAAAAAAACCCACATAAATTCATGTAAACCAACTCCTCTGTAAAACCCTTACTCATTACCATTTACAAAAATCAAGAAAAGATACTGTACAGTTAAGAACAACACTGAGTAGCAATATAAAAATGTGTGGTGTTCATTCTGTTCTCAAAACCAGTCGGAGCGGAAACCGATCACAGCTGAAAAGGGAGGCAAAGGCAACCCATAGCCTGGAAGCCATGCAAGAGAAGGCCCTCTTGTGTGTGTGCTTGTGAGGCAGGCCTGTGAAATGGTTGCCATTTTGAAGAGGGCCTCTTCCAAGGGACAGACTCAAAGCAAGACACAACGCCTAAGGCCCTTTTCTGCACTGCAAGTTACACAGAGGATGGACTGCTTCACTGACTGACTGACTGACTGATTTAAAATATTCATAGGCCTCCTTTCTCCCCAAAAGGACCCAAAGAGGCGGTTTACATCATTAAAACAGGATATCCCAGACCCCAGGGGCTTGCTTTCTCAATGGATTTGGTTCACAAGATAGTGGTGAAATTAAAGCAGTACTAGTATGCTGATGTCTCATTAAAAGGAGAGTGAACAAGACTCCCAATGGTTATTTGTTATTATTGTCACTATAGATGAGACCCCCATATACAGAGGAAACACAAAAGTGTAACACGTAAATCCTGGTATGTGGAGTTCCCAGAAGCATTTGGCCGGCCACTTTCTGAAAAAGGATGCAGGATTCAATGGACCTTCATTATATTTAGTAAATTCTCTTTTCTAGAAGGCAGCACTGGAGTGCCATAGTCAAGGGCCGGCCCTGCCACTGGGCAGAATGGGACAACACAGCAGCATGACTGTAATATGTCTCATGTGAGGATGCCTCTGGAAAGTATTAGGAAATTTCAGTGGGCTTGAAACACAGCAGACAGATTGCTAACTGGGGCTGGACACAGCAGTCACATAATCTTCCCTTACAGCGGCTCCACGGGCTGCTGATTTATTTCTAGGTACAATTCAAAGTGCTAGTTTTCACCTACAAAGCCCTAAATGGCTTGGGTTCAAACTATCTCAGAGACCACATCTCCCTATATGAGCCTGCCTGGGTAATTAAGATCATCAGGAGAGGCCTTTCAGTCTCACCACCCTCACAGGAGTGTTTGGTGGGGACACGGGATAGGGCCTTCTCTCTGACTGCTCCCAGACTCTGGAACTCCCTCCCACTGGAGGCCAGACTGGCCCCCTCTTCGCTGTCCTTCTGCAAGCAGGCAAGGACCTTTCTCTTCCGGCAAACTTTCCCCCTCTTTAGTCAAGAAAAAAGGTTCCTGAGGAGGGACATGATTGAGACGTCTAAAATTGTTCATGGAGTGGATCAAGTGGATAGAAGGAAGCTCTTTTCCCTCTCACACAATAGTAGAATCAGGGGACATCCACTCCAATTGAGTGTTAAGACAGTGAGAACAGGCCAAAGAAAATATTTCTTTACCCAGCATCTTATTAGTCTGTGGAACTCCATGCCACAGGATGTACTGATGGTGTCTGTCTTAGATGCCTTTGAAAGAGGATTGGACAGATTTCTGGAGAAATAGTCCATTGGAGGTTACAAACCATGATGGGGAGGTATAATCTCCAGGCGGCAAACTTTCCCTGAATGACTGGGTGCCTGAATGGGATTTTTAACTAGATTGCTGGGCATACTATTTTGAATGTGGTTTTGGTATTGCTTTTTCAGTGTGCTAATGGTTTGGTCCTTTTTAGTATCTGTATATTTACTGTTTTTAGCTTTAAATCATACATACATGCATACATACTACTTAAGCAATAGAGTTGGGTTCCGTGGAAGGACAGCAAATTTTTAAGAACTTTAATGCATTATTATTAGATTTTTACTGCCAGACAAAAGGTGCACTTGAGCAATGTTGAGCCACCTGCGCCAAAATTCTCCCAGGCACCTTTGAGTATTATATGCCCCTTGACTTAGGTAATGGCATCTTTTTCTACTCTATCTTAGGCAGCAAAGTATACCTGGAGTATTGCATACAGTTCTGGTTGCCGCACCTCAAAAAAAAGACATAGTGAAACTGGAAAGGTGCAGAAGAGAATGAGTAAAATGGTGGCTGGGCTGGGGCACCTCCCTTATGAGGAAAGGCTGCAGTGTTTGGGCCTCTTTAGTCAAGAAAAAAGGTTCCTGAGGAGGGACATGATTGAGACGTCTAAAATTGTTCATGGAGTGGATCAAGTGGATAGAAGGAAGCTCTTTTCCCTCTCACACAATAGTAGAATCAGGGGACATCCACTCCAATTGAGTGTTAAGACAGTGAGAACAGGCCAAAGAAAATATTTCTTTACCCAGCATCTTATTAGTCTGTGGAACTCCATGCCACAGGATGTACTGATGGTGTCTGTCTTAGATGCCTTTGAAAGAGGATTGGACAGATTTCTGGAGAAATAGTCCATTGGAGGTTACAAACCATGATGGGGAGGTATAATCTCCAGGCTTCAAAAGAGGGTACCTCCAAATGCCAGATGCAGGGGAGGGGTATTGGGAGACAGGGATCTAGTGGTCTTGTGTGCTCCCAGAGGCATCTGGTGGGGCCACCATGAGATACAGGAAGCTGGACTAGATGGGCCCTTGGCCTGATCCAGCAGGGCTCTTCATATGTTCTTATCTTGGGTGGCTCTGGCAATTGCCTTCGGAAACACCAGGAATCAGATCCACCAGAGCCCTTCTTACAAGCTTGTGTTAAAGTACCATGTGCCACATGCATATCACAACCTTTCATGCTGAATTAATTAATTTCAAAAAAAAAGAAAGAACTATCTTCCTCTGGTTCTGCACTAACAATCCCCTTCCTTGAACCATATGCCACCTCTTCTAGATCTAGAAATGCTTCCTGTTTCAGGCTGCAGAATCCTTCCAGTCAGCCACACTGAGATTCTCGGAGATGTCATTGGAAAAAAAAAACTTTTCCGTGTTCTACGTCTTGCTGCTCTTTAAGTGCACTTATTACAGGAAAAGGTAGTTAAAAAGAATTGTAGGCTGTCAAATCTCCAGTGCAAATTTAAGTTCTGCGTCATAAATATTAATGCTAACAATACATAACTGCATATATGTTTTTTCATAGGTGTCCAATATGTTCCCATTGCATTTGCTGTTTTGTGCTGTCAAGGTGCCTACGACTCATGGCCACCCTATGCACAAGCAATTTCCAAAATATCTTGTCCTCAGCTGCCCTGTCCAACTCTTCTAATCTCAAACCTGTGGTATCCTTAAGGGAGTCAGTTCATCAACTATTTGGTCTTCCTCTTCTCCTGCTGCCTCCCACCTTTCCCAGAATTATTGCCTTTTCCAGAGAATCCTGCCTTCTTGATGATGTCCCCAATATAAAACAGCCTCAGAGATAGTTCCAGCTTGAGTTGCTCTAGGACCCACTTGTTTGTCCTTCTGGCAGTCCAGGGTATGCACAAAGCTCTCATCCAGCACCATATTTCAAATTATTTTTTTCTCCTTCCATCGTTCACACTCATAGACTTGTTGCATTACCTTCATAATAAATCTTACAACAACCCTGTATAGTAGGCTATCCTCAACATTTCTAGCCTTAGAAGTATCCATTTTTAAATTTCACTGCAGATGTGCAGTCTAAAAATGTCAAAGAATAATTAACTGTACTATTCTTGCAGTTCCTAATAGGGCATGCACTGGACTAGTAACTCACTCCCAGCACTTTCATCTGGTGCTGGGAATCAGAGTCAGCTTGCATTTCTTCTCTGCACATAACGCCAGGAAGCACGAACACTCATAACAACCCACCTGCCTTTCGAAACAGCTGGCGTCACCAGTTGGAAAAAAAGGGAAAGGAGAGGCGACTTCCCACATGCTGAGGTCTCAGCCTCCTCCTCTGCCCAAGGTACTTGTCACAGCCCAAAAATCCAGATTAAGAAAATTCATTCAAAGGGTGAGGTCAGTTTTGCATGAGTTGCAGTGTATGAAACAAGGATCAGACTTATTCCAACGTTAAATAGGAAGGAGACTGGGCTCAGAAACACCCACCTGGAAATATTTTTCCTTCTCACAGAAAGAAGGGAGAGGAAAGCAGCTAACAATCGCTACGGAGAAATGGTTGAGACGAGAGAAAATGTCTACAAGGAATGTATTTGTGTACAAATCAGTGTATCGTACATGATTTTGGGTAAAAACTAAAGACCCAATCAACTTGTATGTCTCTTTTTCAAAAGAGATCCAAGCTCTGCCTATTTTAAAAAGAACATCCAAGAAAAGCATGCAAACACAAAACCAAAAACCATGCCAATTGTGCATCAGGCATTTCATATCCATGTGCTTTGCTGTGTGTACAACATAACATCGGCTGTGTGCTACAATGTCAGTGGGGAGACACTGTAATGTGGTGGACAGAACTGCAGATCAGAGCTCAAGAGAACTGGGTTCAAATCTCCACTCAGCCCTGGAAATTCACTGGGGGGGTGGCATTGGTAACCACTGAATATCTCACATACCTTGAAAACATTACCAGGGTCGCCATAAGTCGAAAGCGACTTGACGGCATGTAACAGTTACAGATACACAGGTTGCACGCTCCCTGCTACACATAAATGTGGCGAGCCTATGCAGTGCTGGCCACAGCCCTCCGCAGTGGGAGAAAGGCACTCTGCCCATGATCAGAGGCACCCTCTGGTTCACTGCTATTTCTGTTGAGAAAAGCCTTTGGTTCAACACTGGCGAAGCCCTAACTTTCCACCAAGACCAAAATATAATTCTGACACTTCTAGATTGGAAGACATTTCTAGGCATTATACCAGATAGCAGGTGACATTGGCTTTAGGCCAAGGCGAAATCAAGGAACTTTAGAAACTCCGTTTCTTTTTTTTTAAGCGTCCGTCTCTCCTACGTTACACCAGCACCCTTTGGACGCTTCTCAACCCTTGCGGTACAAGGTTACAAAAATAACGCAATTACCTTTTCTGGCTTGTCCTGTTCCAAGGAAAACATCGGTTTTTTAAAAAAAAAAAATTAAAAAATCCCCCTCTAGGACGGGAACCCAATCAAGCGAGCCGTATGACCTCCACCAAAACACACAGCGAAACACAAGGCATCCAGCCTCAATCCGGCCGATGGCTCGGTGGATGGTGGTGGTGGTAATAATAATATAATCCACTTCGTATCGGAGCAAAGGTGGTTCCCAGAAGGAGGAGGAGAAGGAGAAGGGAGGAGGCGTGGGAATCGGACCCGGGGAAAGTCAGGAGCCTCGACGCTGCCACCGACTCGGGCGAGAGTCCTGCTCTGAAGTTGCCCGGCCAGTTGCTCTCCGGGCTGATCTCATCCTGTATTTGCATAGCACCGCCGCCGCCTGCGCTCCCCTCTCCCAGCGCGGCGCAGGGAAGGCGGGGACTCGGTGGCCACTGGCTGGGATGGGCTGGGTTGCTGGCCGAGGAGGCAGCGCCGGGCCCCCCACCCCCCTACCTTTTCCGTGTTCCTTGTTTCTCTGCCAGAAGGAACTCGGGTCCTTTTATTTTAAAATGCCCCCCTCCCAGCGCCTGTTTTCCTTTTCATTCCCTCGCACCTCCCCCTCCCTCGCCTTTTCCCTCAGCTGTTGGCAGGCCCTTCTCTCCTCCTCCTCCTCCTCTCGGCCTCTTTCAAGGGGCGCCCACCCTCCTCTCCCCGGGCTTGCTAGTAGAAAGGGGGAGTTGAAAACCGAAGCTTGCTGCACCTCTGAGAGAGAAAGTTGTCCTTCACGACATTTCGGACACCCACACCCACCCCCCGCAATGTTTCGCAGCCCCGCGAAAATAATCCCTCCGTATTTCTTTGCCGAAGAAGGGAAAGCCGCTTTTTTTTAATGAACCTCTTCTCGCCCTACTTTGGTCGGGGGGGGGGAGAAAAAGAGGCAGAAATTGCAGTGGGGCAAATCAAAGCGGAGAAGGAGAGGTGGTTTACCCACACCTATGTTACACCATCCATGTGCATAGCGCTTCACCGAATCAGGTCCCTGCTCCCAGGAGCTTGCAATTAGAAATTAGAAGGGAGATAACGGAGCAAGAGGCGGCAGGAGAAGAGTGTGTGGTTAACATAGTAATACTGATGTAAATTCCAGGCACTTAAGCGTTTTACAAGCTTAGATAAGGTAGGGTATTAGGGACTGCCTATTGTTACATGTGGGTCAAGTGGCTTCTGACTTATGATGCCCCTACCAGGGTTCTCAAGGTATGGGATTTGCCACTTGCCAATGCACACGCTCAGTGAGTTTTAATGGATGAGCAGGAATTTGAACCCAGGACCCAAGTCTGCTGAGTGCTAATCTGATATACTATCCACTACACCATACTGGGTCTCTATTGTTATTGTTGTTGTTGTTGTTGTTATTGTTGTTGTTGTTATTATTATTATCATTAGTAGTAGTAGTAGTTGTTGTTGTTGTTGTTGCTATTGCTGTCATCGTCGTCGTCGTGTGAGGGAAATGTCATTGCTGCTATGTGCCATCAAACTGCCTCCAATTTATGTCATCCCTATGAATGAATTACCTCCAAAATATCCTACTCCTTGACAGCCCTGCTCAGCTCTTGTAAACTCAAAACTGTGGTTCCTTTTAGGCACTCAATTTATCCCATATTTGGTCTTCCTTTTTTCCTGCTGCCTTCCACCTTTCCCAGCATTATTATCTTTTCCAAAGAATCCTCGTTTCTCACGATGTGCCCAAAGCAGGACAGGTTCAGTTTCATCATTTTTGCCTCCAGAGATATGTTGAAATGTAGAGGAAAATGTAGGTGTTACTTAATGTTAATCAGGACATGGAGTGTGTGGTGGGTGAATGTTTCAAGAGAGACAGCAACCAGGCGGGCCCCACTGGCTGCCTGGAGATGCTATGTACCTTGGATGAAGACAGTTTAAGCCCTCATTTCCGGTACCACCACTACTCCCTTCAAGATTTTTTTTTCTAGCCAAGGAGAAGAGCACCTTGAATGACAAACTACAGTATTGCAAGATAAGCCACTCTCAGAGGGAGGGTTATCATTCCACACTTGTGTCCCCCATATCACAAAAATACTGTAAGCCCCACTGTTATATCTAATTTTGCCTTTAGAATCATGCACTCAAAAAGTATTAATGCAAATGTCATTTCCTGCCTTTATTCTCTTTGGATGTTTTTGGTGCAGTGGTTAAATCAGTGATCTTGGACCTGTCCCTCTTTCTCAGCCTCATAATAAATACAAAGACTCTTGTGAAACCTTAAAAATTAACACTTTTTGTTTGTCAAGACAGACTGCTATGGGCTACAAATCTACGAAAGCTTAGGCTGGAGAAAGTTTATTCATCTTTAAGGAGCCACAAAGACTCTTGGCTGGTTTTGATGCAATAATGGACTAAAATGATTACATTTCTGGAAATTCAAAAGAAATAAATAGACCTTTCTTTAAAAATAAAACGCATCTAAAAATAGATAGCAATTACAAATGTACTAAAAACTGCTAGTTTTGCTGCATCATACTAACATGACCAGCCTCTGGAGATTTTCCCTCACAGGATTCACATAAAGTGAAGATGAGGACAGAGAGCCATGAATGCTGCTCTTCTCAAATAAATGTATTATATACCATAATTATGATGATGTACTGTCAAGTCAATTCTGACAAATGACAATCTTTTTCAGAGTTTTCCAGACTCTGGAATGGGGGCATCTTCGGACTGTGCAGCTTGCCCAAGGCCACATAGGCTGCTTCTACTCACAGGAGGTACAGTGGGGAATCGAACTGCCAACCTCTGGCTAAACAGCCAGATACCTAACTCACTGAGCAATCCAACCAGCTTTCTGGATTTAAAATAGAATTGATGATTATGAAAACTATCCAGTCTTCCTTTGATTAAGGTATTGAAACAAAACAGGTTCTCCAACCTGAAGGTTTAGAAAGCAGGGCTTATTTACAACCAGACTGCCTTTTAGCCAGGGTTCTACAGATCTTGGAAGCAGTAGTCCCAGTATGCCCAGAAGACAGCTGACTGGGGAAGCATTAGCTGAAACTTAACCTAAGGCCCACCTAAATGGTGGAGCCAAAGCTTGAATGAGGGAGTTCCTGATTCACAAAAGACAGACATCTCCCTCACACATACATCATTTCTTCATGGACCTGTTGCTAGCAATAGCACCTCTCAGTAATATCAGGGAGAGAAGATAGAAAAGGCATGATGACTTTGGAAGACAACCTTCTATCACTTCAATGAGTTGAATGTGGGTAGTGCAGTGGTAGGTGGTGCCATTGTGATTGGTGGGGCAAAAGGCACAGCAATCGGTGTTTGCCAGATTGACAGGAGCAACAGTGGGCACATGGAAAGACATATCCATATGCAGATTCATGCATACAGAGCCTCCTGACACTGTAAAGGAGGCACACAGAAATGGGATGGCTGGAGAGGGTAGACTGAGCTTGTGATGAAAGAGAACCCTCCCTTGCCTTTATGTATGAGCCACCACTGAAATACTGCACTTGAAAACACACAGCATGTGCAAACTGTGCAGAAGAAATTTCCTTCTAAAGACCATCAGCTTTTCTCAAAGAAGAAGAATCTGAGAACTGCAAGCTAGAAGGGACCATGTGGATCATCAAGTCCAACCCCTGTCAAAGAGGCACAGTGGGAAATTGAACTCCCAAGCCTTTGTCTCTGCAGCCAGATATTTAAACCACTGTGTTATCCAGGAGTTCTGTCTCTGCTTTGTGAATAAATATTGGAAAAATAAATGATTTTATACCTATTTAGTACACCACAGCTGAACAATTAGCTCACCAAGATTGCATCTGGTAGTAGTTCCTGTGCAATGTCAACTGCAAACATGCACACCTATGTACTTGAAATGCTTATTTCCTCTTAACGTTGGCACCATGAAGAAGAGGCAAAATGTTTTCACCTTCTACTTAGCATTGTTCCTCTGCTTTTGGATCAGAACCTATGAGAATCAAGAATGTTATCAGATATAGCTCACATTTTGGACCACTTGTCCATTGCAAGCTACTTTCTGGCAATCAGGCGATCTACAGAAGATTGCAGACCAACCTGACCCTACTCCATGCCCAGTCTGGACCTTTTTGGTCCAGCAGTAAGGATCCTTTCTCTCTTTTTAGAAGTGAACTGTAGCGATTTCTATATGCACAGAAGGCCCACTTGATGGGTCATTGCTCTCAGTGAAGCAATCCTTTCCAGTATGGTCAGACGTACTGTAATACTTACGATATTTTTATCACTGTCTGATCGCACCCTAAGGTATGCTGCAACAACAGCACTATCACTGTGCAAATATATGTTTAAAAAAAATAAAGAAGTAAGTCTCCAAAGGCATGTTTGGGCTAAAAAAGTTGGAAGTCAGATCTGTAAAGAGTGCTGCAAAATCTATCTATCTATCTATCTATCTATCTATCTATCTATCTATCTATCTATCTATCTATTTATCTATCTATCTATCTATCTATCTATCTATCTATCTATCTATCTATCTATCTATCTATCTATCTATCTGTCTATCTGTCTATCTGTCTGTCTATCTATCTATCTATCTATCTATCTATCTATCTATCTATCTATCTATCTATCTATCTATCTATCTATCTATCTATCTA